CCATGGTAAAGGCTTCAACGGATCTTTTGATTCCCTCTTTCCACTCTTACAGAAATGTATTTTCTTTGTTTTGGTGTCGGTTTGACTGTGGACGGAAACGTTCACCATATACTTCTGGACGGTGTCTGGAGTTCGATCCACCTACTCGACTCATCTTATTGGTGCTCAAATGGCTGATTCTCATCCCTAGCATTCCCTTGGTGATATTTGTTCAAGTGATGACTTCCACTTTTATTCGACATTGGGCAGACACTTGAATGATCACATAAAAGATAAAAATATGCAGAGATGAAAACGGAATTGGCAAGAGATGGGTTTGAATCGTTTCCGACTCCCAGAGAAAATATATCAGATAAAGGTGAAATCGGCAAACCTACCTAGGAAATTCACTTCATTTATTAATTGTTAATATTAAAAGGCCCAAGGTAAGCATTTTAATACCTTAAAGAAACGATTTTTTGTGACATGTGATGGTCCACCTTTTTTATTGAGACCTTGCTGACTTAAGCATCATCTACCTCGGTTGCTTGATTGACCGTAAGCAACAAGGCTGTTATTATTGCAAGTTTTGTAGGAAAAATGACATCCCGGAAAAAGTTTTGCTGTCAAAATTTAGGCTAAATATTGTTTTCTTCTTTTTTGGAGAGTTTGAACTTTATGTTCAAAATTTAATTATGAGAAGAGCTCCCATGCATTTTGCGTTAACCTTGTAGTAAATGATTTAAAGCGTTTAATACTTGAAAATTGATTTAACTTCTTAAAGTTTCTCGTAAATGGGATGTCACTATTCCGGAAATATCTATGTACAGGACACGGTAAAAGTTTGAAAGTATTCACATTCTGTGCCAACCGTCACTGTCTCTATTACTAAGGTCCCAATCAAATCTTTCTTAACAAGTGAAATCATCAGGATTTTGATGTTGTGGTCACTCACATTGGTAGTAGTCCAAAGAGCGTCAGCGCGGTCTATTTTTGATGGCAATATTATCCACACTTAGGTCATGCGGATGAGATTTAGAAATGCCTGTAAAACTTATAGCGTTCTCGACTCCTAGCTTGACATCTACCTTGAGTGTTCCAATGTAGACAGATCCATTGAACCCAAAGCCACATGAAAGAATGCTGTATGACGCGATCCACTTAATCACACTTACTGTCAGCTTTGCGTAAGTGACGCCTCATACATTCTGATTTTTATTAATAGAATAGGATATTCTTGGTTTAAAAATCATTGCATTGTTTATTTGTTTCAGCGGCTGGCAAATTTGTCTGTTTTGTTGGTGGAAGTGTTGGAGTTACATTAGAACAGCAAAATATCTTCACCATCGTGACCAATTTTCTCCTTAAATATGATTACAACAAAAGTGATAATTTTTAACATGTCCTGAAAATTAATTCTTTTTAAAAGCGACAAACTGCCGTTGGTGATAACCTTGAATGCACTGAGATAAAAGTTAACCTTTCTTTTCAACAGTGGCACTTTTCCAAGTACTTCTTTGGCAAAGTTAGCGTCCATAACAAAGGCCGAGAAGGAAATCATTAAATCAGCTAGGATGATATTCCTGTGTTCCATTTAAAGTCACTGTAACTGTACTGAAAGTAAGGAAAAATTATAAAAAAATTGAAGCTGCCTATATCCTGCTACATTCTGTGAGATCAGGGTGGATTTTAATTGTATCGATAGGAAGGAATGCTACTGTAGCGGTGGTACATGGGAGTCTGGCCGATTACACAAATCCGCGAATATGTACTTATTATCTGCAAAATACTTTAAACACTGTAGGATGCGGTGTTAGGGTTCTCATTATTACACCATTTAAAGTGTCCACATTTCAAAGATAACCGTAGGTACGTCAGTAACGATTCCGGGAGTGGTGACTCTCATCCTATAATCTCGGTAATTACTCCTGGAGACATTGACCAGCATGGAAAGCATGATCCACACATAACCTATCGTGGGCACGCAAGAGGCGATTCTTTCCTCAGGACTGGTAGGCACAATAATTCACCGACATTTACAATTTTGAAATGTTGGTTTTTGCTGGACGATTGCATTCGGAAATAATGAACGGATTTGGCACTCCTTGAAATACTTTCTTTTCTGATTCTATTAAATCATAATCCCTGTTTAGCATATAAAATTATGCTTAATTTGAATTATGGTTAATTCATAGGTATGGTGACATCTCAGGAAAATGTTCTGGTGTTACTTTCCATATCTAATAATGCGAACGTAAAACTTCTTAAAAATGTCAAGATTGTTCCCACTAAAATGAACGTCTAAGACTATCATCCACGAAAGGTGGATTCGCCGTTCATGTCACAACTCCTTAATGGAAAAAAAAACAGGTGAAACTCATCCTCATACAATTCATAGGAAAAAAACATTAATTGCCACGCCGGCGGTGGGTGTTCTTCACCTAAAAAGGAATCACACCGGAGTATGAAGTGAGCTGGCTGTCGAGTTTTAAAAACGGTGACAGATGGAGGTTTCTTAATGTGTGCTCCCGTCGTAAAACTAATATGAAAAAGTGGCCTGGTTGCTAGGTCGTGCACCCCTGCCAAGAGCTTGAGACGACTGAATAATGCATCCTGCGGAGGGCACGTGGCCTTTGTGGTGATTTGAGATAAAGGCATGCGGGCTGAAGGTAGGCGGATGGAATCTCGGCAATACACCGAGCAAAAGGATAAAGATGGTTAGATTTGATAAGTACCAAGACTATCGCTCAGTGGAGATCCAAGCTTTGTAACATTTTAATTGCACATAATCGTGAATTTATTACAGCAATCCACCCGAACGCTCTGGGGTGATGAGGGGTATTATTTTGGGACCATGCGAGTCCCAGTAAGGTGTATATGACACAAAAACATTTCCATCTAACATCACTTATTCAAATTAGATCAGTGGAGAGTGTGTCCAACCTAGCTAAAACAATCAAGAGTAGCACCTAATAAATTAAACCAATCCGTAATAAAAAACAGCCCCGTTATAAATAAAAACAACTTAGGTGATATAAATGGAAAACAAGACTGAATCTTACTCTTATTTTAGCATCAAATTGATGAAGAAAGAACATGAATTATTTTTAAACAAATGTTCCATTTAAAGCCAAAATTATATGAATAACAAAAGGTGTATATCACAATAGAAAAATTAAAAAAAACAAATCTAAGAGAAAGTAAGAAACTTAGGAATAGATTGTACCAAGTAAATGCCTGCAAGGTATATTTAAACGTAAAATAAACACATCAAGGCCATCATCGCCTCACAGTTAGCTCAAGTTCAGACCAGTGGGATGTAGTTAATGATAGACTTATTCGTCATTTGTTTGCGAAGGATAAAAAATATTACGGCGGAATCCTTCGCAAATAGGTAATCCCATAAACAGAATCAGCATTTCAAATAAGGGATTTTCGCTTCACCTAAGAGTAAGCAGTGGTACCATTGAAGTTGTGAATTATTTGCTTGTGAGAGATTTGATCTTGACCTAGCACCTCAAAGGCAACAGTTCTGACAAGTTTTAGTAAAAAACCGCTGTTTGCTTAAAAAAACTCAGAAAATAAAGCACCTCCGAATCAGGGAAACTGTTGGCAAGCTAAGTACAAAAAGGCTGTAAATGTGCCAGTAGTGCCGGTTTGATAAAAATTTGCGGTGCATTTAAGGGATAATTCTGATGTCCACTTACCACCATTGGTGCTAAATGACACGACTGAAAAATAAATCATTATTGAAAAGTGTCCAGCTAGCAGTACTGACACAAATTTCTATTTTAAGTGTATAATCCTTAACAGAGCCCACTTCAGGCCAAAAACTTGACTATGATGCAACCAATTTAACATATTTCAGCGAAATTTACATCCAACGCAGGGATAAGTGTGGTATAGATAAGAGCAAAAATGCTTGTAGCAACTGCATCCTAAAGGATGAATCAAAGACGATAACAACATGACGTAACAGACTTCAGGCTTTTGTGTTTACGACTATGTTATTCATGACAAATTTAGCACTGCGTGGTTAAATACCTAAAAATGTACGCAAATTTGTTATAATAAATTATAAATATTTTTGAAAAAACCTAAAATTACTGCACTTTGTTTTATTTTGCCAAAAATTTTTTGTTTGGATCTATTACATATATAACCCGTTTTTTAAATAGCGTTTCCCAGCCAATCGACTATCGAAGGCATCCCAGTTGGCGTTGTTTGTGCATGTTGTCACTGTCGTATTTTACTCTTTTCTGAAATCGAAATGGCGCCATCCTCAGGCTTTTCTGAGAACAATTCACCCCGGTTGATTGACTACATTGTGTTTGTTGGACAAAAGTGCCCTAGTCGTAATGGCAGAGCTATTTCCCAACCTGAATTACTGAGAGTTTATCCTCCTCAGAACCATCCTGACTTTGCACTTCCAACCGACATAGTTTATTTTTGTCAACCAGAAGGCTGTTATAACACATCGTCAAGGTCATTTATCCTGGACCCTCGTCATTCAGGGGGTCGTCTACCCCAAAATATCAAAATGGAATTCTTCACATTTATGCTGACGGATAAAGACTCGAATTTAGCACGCTTTGGCGTGTGCTTGAACTTTCTCCGACCGATTGGTCGTCGGAAATCAAGTTATACTGCTGACGTAGCTCGCCGACGCATTGCCTCATTCAAAAGTGCGCTTCAGCATCCAGAGTTGAAGGTCGAAAACAATCGACTACGTAGTTGCGACGACTTTTGGGATTCAAGTTCTTCATCAGCTTCTTCTGAGTTTGTCGGAAGTCAAACTATTGACAAACCTGAGCGCCCTTATACACACACTCTGACCTCAATTTGCTTGGTGTCCCGTTATCAATTCTTCAAAAAGTTTGGAAGTTGCTTACGATTCCTTTACGTTCTCATACAAAAGCTGCATGAAGGGTGCAAGCCACGGCGTTCGGGAAGGTAATCTGTTCCGTATGAAACCTCAAGTTGTAGTAAAATCATAGCTCATCCTAAAAAATGTTAACCAACATTGTAGACAAACGGTTTGGTCGGTTTTGACCGGTGCCATTGAGTCACCGGCATTACTAACTGTACGAAAAAGTGTAGAAGAAATTGATACATGGATTCTTCGGCTCTTAAGTGTACCTGCTCCGATAGCTGGAAAAACTGCTGTATATGTAAGCTGTCAGTTTTAAGCATGCGCATTTAAGCACGTACTTTACTATGCAAGAGATCATCAAAATCTTGCATTTTTAGGCTTACTTACAGCCACTAGAATTCACTCCTCCACTAGTCTTTGCACTTCCGGATGAAAACAGATTCTCCTTGGCGGATTATTCTTTATGCCTGCCCCTTCGATTATTGGGTGTCGAGAAATTTCTCAAGGTTTTTTTTGCACTTCTACTCGAACAGAAGGTAAAATCTCTCTGACTTTTGAATTTTTTGAATATTTATATGAAATCGCCTGTGGGTGGCATTTACATGAAATATCTTTTGGTTTAATTTATTTTATAAAAAATTACTGCTTGTTTAAATTGCGGTTTATCGTTAAAACACTTTGTGCATTCGTCTTCCCTTTTCAGTTTCTTTTAGTCATAAGTACTTATATTCTCTTCTCTTGGTCAAGCTTTTGTCAAAGAGCTTTCTTTGCTTCTTAACTGTCATTCCTTTAAACATTTGTCACGTTTTTACCTCTTTGGAATTAATTGTTCTCAGTCCCGTTACGAAAACTGCATTTCACAAAATTGTGAAAGGACAACATTTACGTCCCGTATCCATTCAAGATTTTTGTTGCATAGAAGTGGGCGATTTGAACTAGAACAGTGGCAACAAAATCTATGTACATCAAGTGTATTCACTATTAACAGAAATTATGTGCTATTGAAAAGTACTTAAACTCTGAGTTGCATACTGTGTACCACTATAAACAGTTAAAACTTCGACTGCAACGTGATTGAGTTGGCTTAAAATGCAGTCGGATGAGTGTTTCCGTTATTAATTTTGACACTAGATTGAAACGACTCAAAATGATTTCACAGCCTACCCTACGTAGACAGCTCTGCATAATGTCCAGGACTAACGCTTGGCACCGAGGTGGCTGCCTAGGAATGGAGGCGAGCAGAGTAACTTCCGTGCATCAGATAGGTGCCTCTGCTCCCAATAACTAGTAGCTAACTCCCGAAAGCCTGCCTTGAAGGAATTTCGCAAGTTATATAAAGAACCGATGCTTAATGTAAAAGTAGTGCTTGCATCGGCATTGCGCTCTCACCAGCGGAGGAGGTGTGAGGCAATTTGTTTCAGAGTTTTCATACAGATTTTGGTAATTTTAGGTTGTTTTGGAGTCCTCGCATCACGATCGATTGACTACCTGTGTGATGGCTTTTACAGCCCTCTGCTATCCTCTGCAGTACCTTTTCGCAGTCATTCCATTGTTACCCTCTTCCCTGAAGGGTGCTGAACAGGTTAGTTAGATACATAGTGAGTCTAACTCGCTTTAATCGTAGTAGTGTTTATGCTAGCTGATACGCTTTACGCTAGTAGAGTGGTTTTAATGAAACTCATAAAGAATTATCATAAGTATGCGCTTGAAAAGTGGTTTATACTTTTGTGTGTGCAAAAACAATACATCCAACAAAACTGTTATCAGCTCTGATTTGACTTCTTAAATGAATACGCGTGTTTTTTGGTGGACTTAATCCACGCCGATCATAATGTTTAACATCTTAGACTTGCATGGGGCCTTAGCATTGAAGATGTGTTTGTTGGTAACCCTCTCAACAACGCCCCAATTACCGTAGTCAGGGACTCAAATCATGAGAGCTAGAAGGTCAAAAATTATCAATCATGTGTTACGTAGGCTGTGTTGAAAGAGTGACGTTGAAGTGCTCAAGACCCGTTCTGAGTAATGCAATCCAAGGTTCAACAACTAGTTCTCTTGTCTTGGTTCCCGAATCTTACAGAAGAAATTGAAAAGGTATGATATGATTTTCATTGTTTACTAGTTCATAAATCGTCTCAGAAAATTGATGGCACCTAATCGCCTAAAATGTTTTTTTTAAGATTTTAAACACCAATGCCCTAGTGATGTTGAAGGAAACCTTTGTTTAATGGCTGGAATTTAAGTGATATTTGACTTAAACTCGGCTGCTTATGTCATAAAATATCTGGACTTCACATGTCATGTATACTTCTTACCAGTAATGTGACCCATCTGTATTTTCGTTCTCTGTGCCTTAATTTTAGAAAGCTTATGGCTCTAAACCATTCTTTCATCTACTCTCTTATTTTTTGGTAAGACGCGTTGAATTAGAAATTGGAAATACGACAATCTTCCTATTGTTCCAATCCCGCCATACGAAGGGGTCCTTTTTTGCATGATACACCAGTTGCAACGTAGCATTTGGTCGAGTAAAACCGTTTATGCCTTAAAACAATCATCACGGCTACAATAACCACGCCTACCAATGTTGAAGTCCTAAAAAGTCCAGTTAACTCAAGAATTTAAATTTGAATGCGGAAATAATTTGTAACGAATAGTATTATTATCACGATAATGCTGTATCCTGCTTTCAACCGTGACATTCTTTTTGCTGCCGTGGACACTTTTGTAACCCGGATACCAGTGGCGATAAATCATGACTCCCATTATGCAGACTCATTCGGATTTTCTTTTACGGCCATTCCCGTATTCATGCATCAAGTGAATATTAGGCTATTATTTCCAACCTTGAGGTGACCAAATAAAAGTAAAATAAGTAGATCATTCGAAGATGATAAATGCTGTGTTCGTGCACTTACCGAATGCTAAAATGCAGAAAATCATTTTTATTCAGCTAGCATTCTGAAATGCACGGTGGGTTTTATATGGTAACTGAAAGATGGTCTTTGAAGCCTACTTTCATCTATTAGCTCATTTGGATGGGATACATTGGCTTTGTAGCCTCTGCGACTTCATTCCCTCTCCCATTAATGTAGACATGAACGAATCGTTGATACAAATCCACGTCTTACGTGTTTCTCCAATTCTTGAAAGTTATAAGTCATTGCAAGGTGTACCGTTATGGGGCTTTCCCCCATTGGCCTCAAGTCATAAGCCCCTTAATCTATAAGACCGACTTGCAGAAGACAATATGCCATTAGAATGGGGATTACAATGAGAAGTTTCATCCTTACAGGAAATAGCGATTGGTGTCCTTTTGGGGAAGAGATGGTGTTGTCGTGTGCACGAAATTTGCAGTTTTAAAAAAAATCGAAAATTTGTGGCATTTGCTGGAGGTAGACATTCTTCCGTTCCTGGTTCTTGTTGTAAATTAACTGTGGAATCTAGGACCTGTTACTGCGATTTTTGCGAGGGGAGTCAATATCTAATTGTTGATTACAGTGCGTTAATATACGTTTTCATAGTTTACGGTTTTTTTCGCCTTTTCCTTGCTGTTGCTCTTCATCTCCTACTTTTAACGAGGGGCCTACTCATTGTTGGTGTCATAGCTCTTGCCTTGCCGTTTGTTCAACCACAGTAGTTTGTTTTAAAAAAGTACTGACCTTGCATAACATTAACCAAGTCTGGGACATGACTCATGAAACTAAGTAGTCATTATTTAATCACAATAAACCTTTTTTGAAGCCCGAAATATTATACGCTTTGCAAGTGGTAAAAGTAGGCAATTGAGGAACCTCATCAACACAGTCGATGCGGCCTTGTGGTTGGAATAAGCGGGGCTTCATTGATCTTTCCAGCTTCTGCAAGCTCCATCTCCATATATTATTGGCTTACCGCGAAACTTTCGGGACTCACGTCTCTCCTTCCATCTTCCCAAGGACGTCCTTCTCGTCGATTTGGATACACAAGAAGTGAGCCAATTCTCCTAATCTTTCTCACTTCTTACTCTTATCCCACCGCTCTTTATCATACACATCTCACTCGATTAACCATTCTCATGAATGTGCCAAAATCTGCTTTTAGATTTAATGATTGCAGTGCCTTTACTTTGATTTTGCACGTAGGCACCAGCTTTTCCATCTCGGTTCAAAGCTAATTATCAGCGGTTTTATTTTAAGCTCTATGGCCAAGGCGCCCAAGATCCCATACCAAAATTACCTCAGAATGAGGAAAAGAAGCTGATTTCTCAGTTAAACAGGGTAAGTATAACTCACTTATACGTAAGTTTTTCAGTCCTCCTTCCATTTCATGTCTCGCCTTATAACTTTCTGTTCACGATCATTTTTGAGTGTAACTTATTTAAACGTTGTCACTTTATGAGTACCGGTCTATCAACTTTGAAATGTGACATCGAACGCCAATTTAGCGATGCTAACTCCTTATTGTTTTTATTTTAAATTGGAACATATTCACAATACTTTTAAGATATTTAAGAAGTGCTTCTGCTTTCCTGTCTGATTTCCAAAAGACCTTTATATGCTGCGTTTAGAAGGCAGTTGCGCTGCAAATACTTATTTTACAGAAGTCTCCCTATCTGACTGTTTACATGACATTTATTCAGATAAATGCATACAATTTTTATGGCCTCGGTATTAACTCAGATTGCATTGAGACTTTGGAAGTGATGCTAAATGCATTTTTCATTTTTATATGCGATGAATCTAAAATTAACAGACCTTTCCTTTACAATCCAGATGCACACAAAGCCCATTCGGAAGCGGATAGTCGCTTGACTTATTTTAGTTGTAGCTAGTATGATTCGCATTCCCATCCAAATCTTATGCATGAGCTTTGCTTCACATAAACTAGAAATGAAATTTTTTATTTAGTTGTTATTTCATAGCCTTTATTTCTCATGTCTATTCGCCCCTCCCCGCAAGCATGCCGCCAAAATGTGTACTTACCTGGATTCTCTCCTTTGTTTGAATCAAAACACACATCTTATTAAAATGCCTTCTTTGAGTTAAGGTTCTGGAAAGACTAAATGGACTCAAGGGAGGATCGGTGGAGGAGAAGGAAATGAGAAGTCCAAGTGATCGCACTTCCATCTCCGATCTCAATTCCTTCGAATCGCCGTTTCACGATCTCGATGAGGAGTCACTAAATCTGGCACTCCGCGTTGTTATGGTAAGGTTGCTCGCCTTTTGTTGCTATTTTGCATAAATTTACTCCTTAAGTGCCTCCAATCAAACGAGAAGTGTATGCTTGCTTGTGTTTTCTGCAGTTGTCCACCTCATTTCTTAATCAGGTCATTTGTTTTTTTGGAAGATTATCTTGCTTTTAATAAATCTGGTTGTTAATTTCTTTCTTCAGGTCATGTTCTTCAAATCGCCGAACGTCTTGGGTGGATTCAGAGAGTACACAAGAACGGTGCGTATCTACCCTCGACCTGTGGTTGCATTTCAGTACGAGCGGTTCATGAAGTCACGACCTGAGCCTTCCCCCTTCACTGTTGTTCTTGCCAAAACACAGGTATGTGTTGCTTTAGTAAAAATGCACAGTGGTACCGAGCTCAAAATGCTACTTTCTTAAAGTCGAAAAAATGGAAAATTTTCCATCAATGCCTGATTCTTTTGCTTTAGTAATTTTCTTTGAATTAAATTAGAATAGGTATCTAGTTTTGTTCTTTTTCCACGAAATTATCTATCTTTCAAGCGGCAGAGAACGGTCGACAAAACGGGGAAAACCAACTGTTTATCTGTTTGAGGTTCCTTTTTAGCAGACAAATAGTCATGACAATTATTATGCAAGTATGCTTTGTTTGTAATAAAAACGATCTGGCAGGGATAGTTTATGGCCGAATTTTCCAAAAAAATTAATGTTCATTGAGGGTCCATGGAATGTTGCCGTAGATTCTTGAGAAAGTTCTCAAACGCGTGGAGGAGAATAAACTTAAGGGAAGAGAGTGGACTCAAGTCAATGGGCTTCAACTGCTTTGAACTATTTCGAAATCAGATTGACGGCGTCATCACTTGCAAATTGGATGACTTAACAACTACCCATTATCTTGGATGAAAATTAGGTTTTTATTTGCGCCAAGTGAATTGTCAAATGATATCCAGTAACTGCGATCACTTCTACATACATTTATGAGAAAGGGAACAGCTTTGATTACTGAGGTGGCTAAATGTATGCCATATGTTGGCAATTTAATAAAAAGACGAATTAGCATTGCTTGAAATTTAGTACTTTTAATAATTTTTTTCAAAATTTAGACTGCAGACTACAGCCCGTGAAAGTATTTGTGATGAGGTTGGGAGCAGGAGCATTAATTGGTCACATCAGCGAGGGTCATATGACACCTTCCGCCTGGCAAGTCGACTGTTCGTGCAAATTGATCCTACATTTGCCACACTGGAGTTAAAATGACTTAAAACGCCTATGAGAGTGGTATGGTGGTATAAATTTATCCCCGCTGACGTGTGTATTTGAGCGAGGAGGCAAGATTCTTTTTTCATGGATCCACCTCTGGAAAATGCAGAGCCTTTCGGGCCTCGTGAAAACGATTTGCAAAATCAGAATGACACCTAGAGGTGTCGCTTAACAGCTGAACGCAATTGTTGGATCCACCTATGCCTTGATTTATGACGTCTACCAGTAAAATAATGTCAGGCGGGTGACTAGGCAACCGACAGAAGACTGCTTCGACGTTTGTTTTGGCGCTTGGCCCGTTCTCTTGAATAGGGTGGAATTTTTGCTACTTTCGAAGTTCTGTAATTCGTTGTAGTAAAAATTTACAACTCAGCTGATAAGAGGAAAACTGACTACGGCATTCTTCTAAGATTATTTGAGCCTTTTCTTAAAAGAGGTCATGAAAATTGTGACTAGCTCTTAAGGAAGATGATATTTATTAGAGGGATTTGTGGCACCATTAATCGTTGATATGATTCCGGGGAAGTTGAATTACAAGGGGAAATGTGCATTTGGGAAGGTTGATTTGTCTGAATTAGTATTATTCACGACGCCACGTATCACATCTAGCAATTAATATAGTAATTAAGAATAAATTGGTAGATATTAAGAATTTGCCTTGAAAACTACACTGAATTGTTTTTTTTTGAATAACTTTACTGGGTATTTTTTCTGCTCCTGGCAATCAACTTATCCAAATGGTGATACTGACACACCGGCGCCGGATGATAGACTTATGTCCACCGTACATTATTTCTAGTAAGGAAAAAAATACTACCAGTCGACGAGTGATGATAATGAGAAAAAAGGCAATATTAAAAAAGAGATGTCTTTCGTACTGGTGCAATCCGATAAGCACTATGCATTTAACAGGGGATAAAAAGACGAAGGATAGGTGCTTTTAGTGTGTAGAAAACAAGTGTTTCTAAAACTTTCTCCTCTGTACACGCTCTGGCAGCTGTCCATGCTCCCTTTGTGTCTTCGTACATGCAGCCCGAGTACGAGGGGTGCTCAAATGAGATCGTAAATTTTATGGTTAAAACCAACAAGAACACATTTTAAGGAGTACACATTTTATTTACTTTTTTGCTTAGTTTTACTGTTGTTCTACATACACACTTGCTTCTGTGTTCCGTAAATTTGTGCAAAGCAACTTCAGTATGCTGGTATGGCGGAACGATCCCAGGTCATCCAACATGGGCTAACCTTTCGAAGCTGCTCTCTCATCGGTTTGATTTTTCACGTTATAAAGTGATTTGAATTATCGTGATCTTTCTCGTCAAAGCGCCCTTTTAACTTAGTATAGCAGCATTCAACTCTTCTGTGGTGGCTACGTATGAAAAGCTCTCTTGGTACCCAATATTTGTCAACTTTTTGAACTAGTAAATGTTTGTGGGTTACTCATTTCACCATTACCATGAAAGGGTTCGTCCTTTTTGTTGGAACGAATGCTGTGAACTGGAATCTACCACGGTCAACCGTCTTAGAAATGCCTACATCATTCAAATGTTTTACTGTTGAGAGGCTGAACATTCCATCGTCGTACGACACTATGTTTAAAGTTTTATGTGAAAACAAGCATGAAATGCGTTTGTGGACAAGAAACTTCGTTCGGTGCATATGCTATTAGATGTACGCACCCACTACAAATATTTTTGGGGATCTCAATTAATAGCGTCCACATCGGCTATTAATGAGTAATAGGACAGACCTGCCACCTACTACTACGTGTAATATCCGTGCCGTAGCGTCTCTTTCCTGAAATATCATGCAAATTAAGAATCAGGATCTAAAAATAACAGTCCTTATAAGACAGATAGTATTTTTCACTCCTCTTCTTCCTTGAAGGCGGTGGAGTACTTTGCGGAGTGGATTTTGATCCCAGACAACCTGGTGTACCAAAAGCTGGACGATGAATCTCTGCTTCTAGTGGAAATTGGAGACAAGGACAAATGGTTCAGCGACACCCTCTACACAATCCCCTTCCACCTGTGGACAGAGCGATTCGACAGGGGGCTGTTGAGACCCGTGGTGGAGCTATTCTTTTCCTCTACGCAACACAACAATGTCTTACCTGAGTGGTCCGTCAACAAACAGTTGATGATCAAACCCTCTCCCTCTGCAATCCTCTCTTCCACCTCGGGAGCTTGTGAAATTATCACAACAAGTGGTTCAGACACACCAACAGGTTGGTCAGATTGACCTTGTTTTCTCTCTTTCCCTCTCCTTTTATCTGAGCTCAAAATCGTGGCTCCACTACATCAGGGCATAAATCTGTTTGTTTCTTGGTCATCTTTGCTATCCTAATAGCGACATATTTATACCGGGAGGCGATCCAAAGGAAGAACACAAGTCGGTTACCTGTCAGTAAAATCAGGAAGCAGCAGTAACTCAAAAGGAACCTGGAGTTGATTTTAATTTGGGTCGGTTTGATTTCTACCTCAATTTATAAAATTGAATCATAACTTTAGGAAAAAATATTTCTGCAATCGAAATTGCCAAGTGAATATAGACCTCACAAAGCCATAGTCAGCGATATCTTAGCGCAATTCTTTGATACTCAAGCCTTTTGATGTGAAATGGCCCACGCTAACCTTAACCAACGCCACTTTATGATTTTTTAAACCAAATGTTTATTGCAAGACGCACCCTTTCAACTCTTTTTAACACTAAGAACAGCAAAAACATTTTAGCTGTTTTTTTTAAATTCTGCTAAAAAAGTGACAGTGAGTCTAGCTGTTAGGCGTCAATGAATTAGCCCGGAATTTGTCGAATGAGTTTTCTGCATCTATTCTAAGCAAACTTTTTGTAAGTCGAAAAAGAAAATTATGAACTAATCGACCTATTTTCACACTGAAAATCACTGGAACAAGTATCCACTGCTCTTAATTCTCGTTACTAGTTGGCCAAAATTGTATTTGATCTATTCCAGAGACTACCCATAGACTGGATTCCAGAAGCATTAATTCGGCTTGGTTCAAACGAGTGATGAATTCCTAAGTGATCAAACTTTTTTATTATCTTTGTAAGCAAAGAACAACCCCCTATATGGGGCGTTGAAGTTTAGGTAAAAGCGGAGTATAGATCCGGACTACCACACTTTAAATAAAGCCAGAAGCTTTTTTATTTTAATGAATCTTTTCCTGTCATATAGGAATTGATCAGGATATGCTTTCCTCTAGGCAATTTATTGACGGCTTTACGCGAAAGCCGTAGTTTTGATGTCCTATTGAGTTATCTGATCACTGTTATAAAAAAGGGAGCGAAAACGAATCCTTTTTTTGTAAAAATTTTTATTGCTTTTCTTAAAGCATTTTCCATAAGTTGCGTTGTGTGCTGTTTAAAAAGTTATTTGTAATAATGAGAATTTTTTGCCATACAGCTATTTGCGTTGTCCCCTTTATATTGTATATTTTTCCGTACCACATCCACAAAACAGCTTCCTGATCGCTAATGTATACACCCAGCTCAGAGTGATTTTTTATTTCTCAGAGTAATCAGTGCTTGCTATTTAATTCCATAACCCGTGATTGGCGGTGGATGGGGATGTTACTTGAAATAATGTTACATCTTTCAGAATAATCGTAAATTAGTCCAACTGATTTTCAGCTCTATGTAAAAAAGATTATGCGATATCAGAGACTGAATTATGCAAAAAAGTAAATTGGACAGAGTATTAAATAGATTCGCATATTTTGCACTGCAATTAAAATTCATTTCAATGATTTCTGGTGGGCTGCTTCTCAGAAATCGCACAATATTTTCACTTTTATTCAAGTACTAAGAACGCACTGCCTCCTTTGAAAACATTACGAGAGGGCTGTTTTATGCTGTTCGCATATTTCATTCCCCATACATTTTTTTGCCGACTGGATTAATCTTTTTTTTGAAGTCTACTTATTTGAAACTAACAGTGAATTTCGATTGCTGCGTAGTTGCGTTCTTTTGGAGGCCAATTCTATTTTTTTTTTTTTAATTAGATGTGAGCGCAAGCAATGGTAATAGTTCTGCGGATACGGATGCTGAACCAACTAGCGATGTGGGATCTGGTAAGACGCCTACTCCTAAGCTAATAACCGTTTTGGTCGCGCCTTTTCTGCATCATTTTGCATCATGGGAAATTGATATCCTAAATCATGTTATTAGAGCAAGGGACGTGCTTATGGATACACTTGAAAGTGTCAGTGTCACCAGAGGGGTGTTAGTCTTATTTGCTGAAAGTGTCAGTTTGGCAGACTAAATTTTCGGTTTCGCATAGCTTTTAAGTCAAAATAAACCACATCAAAAAATGGGACGTTACTTATGACAGTAAAATTTGTGTATAAAATGATAGAATGAGCATAAATTATCTTTGCTTTTTCCCAAATGCCGTATTCTTAATAGATGGTTTTTTTTCGATGCTGCATATGTACATGGTGGATATAATTCTGATCGTGCTTGTAAAGGTATTTTCACCTTGGTAAAAATTTTGTTACATATTTTATATTCCGCCATGTTTTATTCGGGAAATACTAAAATATTGAAATTACAGGTCCATAGGTTACTGCGGTTTTCGTCAGTAGTTGATTTCTTCCCCACGCCTTGACACTTCGCCGTGCTATGGCAAATGAACAAGTTCCTTCTCATTGTGTCATGCCTACACTGCTTAATTTTACCCATCTTGTGTCCACCTTGTGGACACTATTTGTCCTCAACTTGAATAATTTTTAGAATGAACTAAATTTACCACAATTTTACGATTGAAAAGTGGTTTTAGATCTTAAGCTAGCCATTAAGGGCTTTAAAGTTGTACTATTACTTGGAAAACCCTAATCAAATCAGTTACATTAATCTTAGTTTGTGGATTATGCTTCAAGGCACTTAATGACCTTGCATAAATTGTCAATTTGACTCAGCGCTTAAAGTCTTCTACCAGGCATTGCATATAGTCTTCTTCTTTTCCTGTCACAGAGGCTTTCGTGCCACATGCGGCTTAAACAGCGTACTTCGACCAAAGTGCCTTATTGTCTTTTAGTTCCGTAAATGCAGAGACTTTATTGGTAAAATAGGGTTGTGGGATCCGAGTTTGCCTCTGAGATGTCATGATGTCGTGCAAAAGGACTGGGAGAATAGTCGCATATGGGGTATGGGCAGAGCCTAATGTCACTAGTGTAGGTAATTAAAACAAATGTATATTCATCCTACAAAAAAGTGTATTTACGACGCTGACGTCCGCTTAATGCAGGCAGCTTTGGCGTTCCACACTCTTCTCGCCTGCACTTTGCCGATTTTATTAGATCCTTCATGATTGGGCACAGAAATTGGTGCACAACCACTTAATGCTTTTGGGTCGTTTGTATTTGCTTCTAAATTACCAATGTTTGGTCAAAATTCAGCTTGAGACAAGGTGAACTGGTGCAGTCCAACTACCTGACTTGACTTTTGAAGAAGCCATGCCTGGCATCAGTCTTCTCTGCTGATTTTCCATTAGGAAATTGCACTCTTAAATATTGCGATAGCATCGAAACAAAGTTTGTTCCCTTTAGGGTTTGTGTCTTATAATTTAAATCACGTTTTTAAAACAAGGATTTTCTTTTTCAAAAGCACCTTCTGAAGGTCTCAAATCAACTACCATTTCTGTCGAAGTAAAGAACTGATTTTCTTGTCTTTGAGGTGCATCACTTTTTGTGTAGTCACTTTGTTTTGATTTGCAATTCTACTTTTCGGGCCCAAGAATGCTCATACTTAGGGTCCTTTGCTAACGGCCAAGTAGACACCTACCCGACATGCACTTTGCATTTTTTTGACATGGCTCAAGATGGAAGTGAATTCAAAAGTGTTATTCTTCTTTTGCTTAACCTCCCAAATGAGGTGCCTACTACGTATCCGTTACACCAGTAATGACATTTTTGGGAATAATTTTAGTAACAAATGGATAGCTTTACGAAAAGGAACATTATCTCTAATGTTGACCTCCCGTGTCAATGGTGATGAAATTGTGCTCCTGGTAACCTTGTACCCACAAAATACAGTCTAGTAGATACAATTAATCATGGCACAGTTAGAAATGACCTATTATTTCGCTTCCTCTTTCAAGTTTCATTGTGTGAAAACGCGAAAAAATTTAATCACCCCTGGCGTATGTAATAATCTTATTCATAACTTGTTGGTGCTGACTGTGTAGAAGATTCTTTGAAAGGATCATAATATCTTCTTTAAATTAAAATTTGGATAGGACAGATTGTTGTGAATCACCTACGTGACTAAAAAGAGGGAACCCTTAATTTTATATAATGCCCTCCAAAAGCACCCAGACGAACAAACTTGATGAATGAGTTAACCCGGCCAGTATTTGGCATTTTTTACCATTCCTTGTTTTTAGATAAGCATCCAAAAGCCATGATTGCCAATATTCTCAATAAAATTTTTAGAGGTATGTTTGGCACAATCTTGGGGTCTTCTGTACTAGCTCATAAATTTGCTGGACATATGCTTATTACCCGCTCGTAACCTCGCTACTTCACCTCTTCTTACACTTTTAAATATTACTAAACACTTTACCTCCTTTTGTTCTACGTATTTTATGGTGCTCTTTGAAAAGTTTTGAAGCATCCAAGTGTGGAAATGCTAAAGTACTGTAGCATAGGCTTCCATACCGCCCTTGTGGAGACCAAACCATAGGGTTCCATTATCGACAAAACTTCGCGTTCAGTACTTTTAATTGTTATGAATCTGCACTTTCGGTACCAGGGCTACACTTTGTTTAAAGGCGAACGTAGCCTTCATCCGCAATCATGTTATCCGTATCCTTCGCTTTCTAGTCTGAAGCATTCAAGCGGAATTATACTAAGTGGTTTAGCTTCTACATACTAGTAGAAGCGTACTACGTCTCTTGAACGTGCATGCAATGCTCATTATTTCTACCCCCAGTCTAGCTTATCCATAGATGGTGGTATCAGTTAAGCTATGCTAACTTCGAAGATGGACGGGTTTTCATCTCCTTTACTCCCTTACATAGGGAAAGAGATTTCCGACAAGCCTCAGAGAAGTGGTGGCAGAGATAGAGAAGAAACGTTATTCAGCTCTGTGACGCTCTCAACTCCAGAAAATGTGGAGTGCATGCAATTTGGCAAGGAGTTGCCTTCAAATTTGCGTGTCTACTACTCTCCTCCCACATCCTTCGTCATTCATAACTCGAATTCGCAGCCCTCTGCTACCACGCCTTCACTCTCACCTCAGGTCAGTCGAAAAATTTGCGTTAACTCAGTAGCTATCTTGATGGCCTCAAATTGGCTAAGTACGCCTTTTTATATCCCCCCCCTCCCGTCTCTGAAGTTGCATGAATATCCATTCCGCTTTTTGAGCAAAAATTAAATGCATTTTTTAAACAAAAGTGGCGTTTTTTTAATAAAGTCCAGTTCCAATACTATTGTTCAAGAACAGTCTATCTTTTAGATCTGCTTACCTATTTTTTGCATAACTATTGTATTGGAGTAATCCACTTAAGGACGAACTCGGTAGTTTTGACTTGACATTTAAAAATCAAATCAGGCTAATGTTTGTCACAGACAGGTTTTGAAAGGGAAATTCAGGACGTTTAGACATACATGAATCCTGAATAAATCTTCTACCGCGTCAAGCTAATTATTTTAGTGGAGTGGTATTTACGATTCCGTCCCCTAAACCGTGCGTTCTTACAAAACTGTGCTATGTATGCATATTTCATGTCACCCACTTATTTTCCCTTGGGTCCCGGCAATAAACTGATCCGCTAATGGTGATCTGTAATTCGTTTATATATTTTAGGTAAAATAAATGTTTCCAACAAATTAATGAAATTTTCTGACACAACTTCATAATTTAAGTATGGTAGAAACTGCTCTAAATTTTTCTGGCAAGTTGTCGATCAGAGCTGGACCTGGTTCACAGATGCCTCCTGGTTTTTGTGAATTGCTATTTACTTTAACAGGTCCAGCTGTAAGCTCTCTTCCCCTTACATAAAGAGGGAATTATATACATTTGTTACTTTTAAAGACATTGCAAAGCATAAGAGTCTGAAAGTAGCTTTGTCAAAAGTATGTGGAAGTGTTTTTAAAAACCAGCAGCACAAGTAGTGTGTGGGGGGCCAAATGGAAATTTTATTATTCAGCTTTTTAAAGGGGTTTGATTTGGAGTCCGTTTTTTGCTGAACTTGTTGAGGAGTTTATTTGGTCTTTAAGTAAAAATGTATGTTGTTTGCAAAATATTATGTATTCGGTTGCCGCATAGGACTGGTATCTTGCACCATCCTCATTACTCAACCTTTTACAAAAAAGCTGATCTTTCCAGTCTGCCAACTACTTCCTTCATTCGCCTGTCGATAATCAAACTGCTACATTTACGTCCTTTAAGGGACCATAAATTGGAAATTATTGCATTTACTTTGTTTGACTATTACTTAAATCGAAAGCAGTACCTGAAAAAGGAAAACACATGTTCCAATGTTTAGCCGAGTATTAACTGGGAAGGACTTTGTCAGTTTGCCCCCAAGCGAGGCCTCCAATTACAAAGAGACTCGTAACAAGATTTTCGAAGCCGAGTATTTTACTGTAGTCTGATTCATTTCTGCAAGTAGTGACACTATATTCTCCTTTACAATTGATCACTAGTGAGAGTGACTCTTAGGTTTACGAAAATCTGCCCACTTACTGAAGCTAGGAGTCACCTTTTCTTGTTGCTAGTGCAAGAGCGCTTCATGAACTCATTTAAAAATGCGCTCCTGTCTTATGTGAATATTTAGTCTTCAAGAGCGGCATCGATGATCAATTTCTGTCTCATACAGGAATCTGACTCTTCACAGATGAAGGTTATTCCACAACTGTGGCACCTGTGGCACTCACAAAGTCGTCGCAAAGCATGCCAGCTGGAAGAAGCTTTGTTGTAAAAGCGCATAGCTACGTAGCTCTATACCGCCATCATGCTGCGAAATAATACCTGGAATCATTTATGTGTTTTTTTTGCGATACAAGCAATTTAAGTAAGATTGTAGGATGTTTTTTTAGTTTTATATACATTAGCTACTTAGCGTGATTAATTTGTTTCTACTTTATAGCCTTCACATCTGCCATACCATATGTGCTTAATAAATCGTACAAGCTTCAGCCGTGTTATTAAATATGGCAAATTTCGTCCGAATGCATCCTTTCCGGTTGCAAAGGTTTATTCGCAAGCATATAGCTCGATATGGTGGAGAAATTTACCCTGTTTGCACTAAAATGTCATAAATTAATTGGAGCTCACTCATTAAATCTACCGAGTGCTCAGGTGGATGAAACATGCACAGAGGAAGTGCATCTGACCTGAATACAAAACTTGGGCCCCTCCAGTGCATAGAGTCAATTCATTCTGCATTGAAAATTATCTTTTTTTTCTATCATACTACAATAACCATGTTTTGTATTGTGCTAAATGGCCTATCACGGTATTTATCCATGACTGATTTTCCGTTCGTTTTTATTTCTAGGATTCACTACTCAGTGGGTACGTTCTTTTTCCCTCCTGTGATACACACTTCATTAAATTTTCGTGAACGAGGTATATGAGCTTTGTCCATTTGCTTCACGCCACGTAATTTACTCAATCGGTCATGAATTTCGAAGGAGTAGATGGGTTAAATTTTGTCTAGAATAACATCACTTTAAACAACCCCGAAAACAAGAGTACAGGAGTAACGAAGAGACTACCTCTCTCAAATTACGGGAGACTAATTAAACAACTAAACTAAACTCCATTAACTATATGTCGTTTTCCTTGTTTTGGGTGTCATCCTTAGTACTTCCATGGTCCCTCTTCTGCTTTGGCCGTATAATGACCTTTTCATCACAGGAATGACTTTTGGTTGTTCAAATTTATTATTGCTTCATTTATTGGGATTAAGTAGAAATAGCCGACTTAAGCGACCATGGTAGCTGCCCAAAGTGACTCAATTTTGGTAGTCCTTTTGTCATGAGTCTACTTCGATTGGGCCAATTGGAGAGATACTTATCCTCTGATATTTTGCCTTATTATTTAGTCAGGTAGCGGTAGAATGGAAGATTTTGCGCAATCATCAATACATTCAAAACAAATAGCTTTACCGTATGGCACAAAATTAACAGAGTTTTTATTGATAGGCAATCTTCAGTAAAACCTTACATCGTGTTGAAGATAAGTCACCTCCTAATTTTGAATACAGCCCCAAAACCTTTCTTCTTGACACATTAATTTCATTTTGGATCCTCGTCAAACCGATTTGACTCATTTAATTAAACGCTATTTCCGACAAATTTTAATCACAAAAAGTAAACCAAGTCCACTGGCGCTTAAGAGCTATGCTGGTGTGTAGGCACCTTTTGAAAGAGGCCACTCAGCGACTAGTATCAATGAACTCCACCAACAGTGGTGAACCTCTATCGCAAGCCTTCGACTCTCCCGAGCTTCTGCAAGCCTCCAGCTCCGGTCTGTTTACACACCGGATATCAGATATGGGTAGTCCCATCTTGTCTCTCAGACCTTCGGTAAGTCAGCAGTTGCCTTATTTTGAACTCTGTATGCCATCCAGAGAGGGCTACCCTATTTTTAGATCCTCTGAATACATTGTAAAACTTACGAGTTTTCAGTAAGCTCTATAATAAGCATATAGAATGGCTCAATAGGTCCATCAGGGGACAAATTATAATGATGGCAATCTGATATATAGCCTTGTATGCATTTGTTGTCAACATAGTCAAAATCAGGTATGATGTGAGGATTGAGACCTTATGATAACTTTTGATAACAGCGAAATGATTTGTTAATTCCATGGTGGTTCTCCATCGAGTGAGATTCGATGGGCCCGCCTGTTGTACTTCATTTGCTACTCGCTCTAAATATCACTTAAGACTAGACAATGTTTTACATTTTTATGAAAAGGAAGTTTCATTTCCTCAGACCTTAGCAATCGTTTATCGTTTAAACAGAAATGTTGTAAGTATATCCCCTTGGAAACGATTTGAACTGGTACCTTTTGTTGCTTGCCGCGGTGCAAGGATCGTTGTGGTTTCAGCATCCTTCTGCTGGGAATACATCTAAACCAATCGATTTATTCACACAAAAGTCTGCTTTAAAGTATCAGGGGCAACCTTCATATTCCAGACGAAGCTCACGGATGTTGGGTCTGTATCGAGACGGTATATGTTGTATAACTTAATGAGTGCATCTATGGTCAAATTATGCAAGGGCTGGATAACAAGACTAAATCAAGAAATAGATAGAAGATCCTCGTGGCAAACCTTACCTTGTATGAGTACTCTTACTAAGGTGTCAAAAGCATTATTCCACATCGCCTGTTTTTTTTGTTATCCTATTTTCACCTAGGAATACGGATCTACTTATTCAAGTTTTATTAAGACATATTTGCAAATAACATTTTCGTGCATTTTTATGTGGAATGAAGACGTTTATATGTGTGTGTTTTGGCTCTATTATGTGGATTGTTTTTTACTACGAATGAGAATAATAACGCATTTTGTACATTCATCATCATAAGCGGAATGCCAGGACTCATTTCCGTTCTTAATATGCTTTACTGGGTTGTCTTGAACCTATTCATTATCTCCATTTCTAAGAATTCACTCATGACTCAGTGAACATTCATTCGTATTCTTTACTTGAGTGGCAGTGTTTTTGACATTTGTTGACAAAGATATTTATACCATGTTGTAAATATGATTGCCCGAGGCGGTGCGCTCAGCATTTACTGGTGTTTGGATAAAATGGAAAAGTTTGTGGGCGAAAATTTTTAACATAAAATATACCAAAACTGGATAGTGGAGGGCAAGAAAGGAGTCAATTCGGTCTCTAATTCTACTAACTGTCAAATCTAATCAGTCTACTAGAACAGGAAGTAGAGGGAGACGGTGTGTGCAGTTCCTCTATTCTTGTTTCAGAGTCCAATAGGCCACTCCTCGCAGCGCCGCAGCTCCAGATCCACTCTGAGTGCGATTCTCGACAGTTGGTTTGCCGATGGTAAGTGACCACCTGCTGCAATACCTACCTCTAATTCCTCCTGTGTGTGTCTTGCGTCGAGCATTGAGATATGCTAACCATGTGTGCTATCTTAAAGAATGTAGTGTTACTATCAGCCATGGTCTTACGGATGAATTTAACGTTCATGTTAACATGTGAGTTAGCGGCCGTTCCCTTGCGTGGAATCTCATTTACGTAGATCCTAACGATGCCCATCTGCCACTTTGATAAACTTATCTCCTCAATTTTTCAAACGCTGGTAGGGGCTTATTAAGTTTTTCATTCTTAACCATATGCAGAAAAGTATCTCAATGCTTACTTGTAATAAGGCGGTTTCTAAGAAAATGTCAGGCGTCTATGGTGAGACCAACTCTATCTGTTATTATTGCAAACTCCAAAATTTGCAAATTTATTTTACTTCACTTTTATTTGTCCATCTCTTTTATTGAAAAACTTGACACATGTTCACGGTCCGTGGAACAACTGGTTTTGCATCTACATTGTAGGATCACCTTAACTTATGGCAATTTGAATTCCCCCATTTTTTTATTTACCTTTCATATACTGCATCATATCAGTATCACTAAGCCTACTCTACCACTAAATCGGCTCTCATAGTCAGAATTCATTTTTTTCCTTGGTCGAAAAATCGCGAAAGATGTCTATCCATTGCACTCGTGTTTGGACCAACCAAGGCATTCTGACTGGTTAGTGCTAATCATAGAAGTAACCTAAGGGCAAAGCGATTGAATTATAGAGGAGAAAAGTTTTTGCAGCTTAGCAATGAAAACTGAAGTCATACAGGGGTGGGTGTGGGTGAATCAGGGATTATCAGGATGGTATGCCTCCCTGTGTCTGCCTTAACCAAACTGCCTTTTTCATCTGTCTGCTTGCTTGATTTTAGTATAATACGGCAGTAGCGAGAATTTGATAGCTTGAGGTATATACACACTGTCTAGACAAAAAACTCCTCAAATCACTCGATATTCAGGCCCATTTCTTTCAAGTAAATTTCATCATGGGTTACTTAAGCTCTGTTCTGCATATTTGAAGTCTGAAAGGGCTCAAAGAGCAATTACGGTGATTAAAAGGTATCCACAATCGTGATGCAGCATAGCTGTGATCAAAGGAGTCAATTGAGAATACGATTGCGAAAATGATTTAGATGGCCAGGCAGCGATGAATCATCGCTAGATCATAGTCAAAATGTTCTAACTTAGAGATGATGGAAGCCCAGTCTTGTGATAAATTTCACTCCATGTATATTATGTAAAGTCATAAGGTTAAAAGAAACGACTTTTAAACAAATTTTGAGTATTAAAGTAACTCGTGTAATATAGGGGTGAGCTAGAATTATTCTTGATACTCCTTGATCCAAGCGATACAGGCTGCACCAGCTACTCCCAAATCGGCTTTATTCGCATCGTTCGTGACACCCTCAGTGCCAGACGTCAATGTGTCTTTGATACCATGGGCTTACCTGTTCATTGCCCCAAGCCTAGCGATTAAGGGATTTTGACTATTTGGAGCTATGAACGTGGAACTTCCCAATTATTCATTCAAAATTTGTAGGGGTCAAATGCGAAGGGATAGTTTCTTACCAAAATACAAAAGTCATTTCTTGAAAGATCCTTTTATTGTAGAACCTTAAAGTCACCTCAAATGTCTGAATACTGACGCCCGCATTGTTGGTAAATTCGTGTTGGAAAAGTGGGGCGACATAATATGGCTCTCAGTCATTAACCACAAATCCTATTTGTCGGCAGGTGCTGGAGGAGCTCAGGTTCTCAGATGACATTTGATCATCGATAGAGTTCTTTTCTTTCCATCATAAATTAAAATAATCTACCCGTGCTGTTTATGGTAGGGCTAGCTACAATGAATGAGAGTGAATTGTCAGCACGTGCAAAGTGTATGCGATTAATTATCTTCATGCATTAGCAAATATTATAAATGTGTAGGTCTATCTGCATGGTATTCTTTATCTTAATATATGAAGTGTCGGTTGAACGTGCAGAATGTAAATGGAGCTTGTCGGCTTTACGAGTTGAATTACGAAGTTGCAGAGGCATGCATCTCGTCGGATTTGTGGTACGGTGTTTGTAGAAGATGTAGTATTTGGTAGTAGGACGTACTACTCAGAAATGGTTCTTGGCAATGACAATTTGTATGCCCCTATTGGTTGAAAAGGTCAGGATTATCGTGCCAAGAAAAACACCTAGTAGTGCTTTGTGTGAGTAATGGAATGATTTGTTGACACCTGCATCAACTAGGAATGTAAATCTGCATTAGCAGATAGCAAAAAACAAGCTTGAATGGCCATCACTTGGATTGTTTTTAACCACCGACCGATTTTTGATAAAAAATAGTAACCATTAGTGGTTATTCTCAAATAATCTACTCACAACCTCCACATCATTAGAAGACTGCTTGTTTTTTATGCACTTATGTATGTGATGGACCGTGGGCGCAATTTTTTACCATGAATTGTTCACCTGTTGAAGGACAAAAAGAAGTTATGGCTGGAATCCATTCGCTTGAATCGGAGTAAATTAATACAATTCGTGGAATAACCAAGACTAGTTGATGATTTGAAAGAAAAGGCTATTCTTATTCTTACGAGACTGCACTACGAAGACCGCATATCTAATACAACCGCAAAGCATACCCATAAGATCTCACTTCAAACTTGGGTTGGAAAGGAGTGATAATGCCTCATTCTGGCCTCCAACATTCAGTGCCAAATTTCGCATTTTCTGGGCATTATGTAGGCAATTACATGATCAAATGCGGAATGGAATGGAGTTGGGAAATGAAGGTGAGACAGAAGTTGAGGTAGCTGAAGTTAGGTTGCCTGCTCGCATAAAGGGGGAATTGGCAAGCCTGTGCCTCAGTAGAAAGGAAACATTTATGATAGTGGTATATTTTAATAGCCCTTCTTAATGTATTTCATTTTCATTATTAAAAGGCCCATAGACCCATTTATTTTCCTTGTATATAGAAAAAAATTAGAATAGTTATTTTTCCTAACCAAGGCTACATTAAATGCTGTGTCATTTGAGGAATCACATTTGACTCAAACAGAAGTTCCCCACGTTTTGTAAACGCTTCTTTACCAAATGACCAGTGGGTCATGCAGACTCAAGATTGATTTACTTGCTTAAATCCTCCATCTACTTTGGTTGTGGAGTACTAGCACGCCTTATCTGAATAACCGTTCTGCGAGCTTTCATTTTTGACACGTATATTAAAATTACTACATCTATTTTTAGTTGGGAAGTCAGCCGACGACGCCTCTGATCCTGACATTGAGAAACAGCGTATGGAATTGGAGATGTAAGCCATATCTGTGTTCGTTATTCACATAGTCCCTTCCCCGTCTCTGTGTCGACCTGATAGACGTAAATAGTGTTTTTTTCGTAGTAAATACCCTGGAAGTGATTAAAAAACTGCCATAAAAATGTTTGGTTGGCGTTAAATAATCGAATGCAAATTACTTTGGATTAGGCACAATACAAGACCTGGATGTGTCAAGTTGAAGATAATTAGACATCCAAGAGTTGAATAAGCAATGAGATAGTAAAAATGTTCTTTCACAGCAGGACGATTTGGTGGGACTAGGTTGTTTTGAAAAAAAATTTTGATAAATTCAGGAAGTGGGATGAGCCGATTCTGTCATATGATTGTCTTAATCAGGGGACTACATGTTTTGTTGGGTTCTTACACTTTTACCTGTTTTCTGATGGTCATCAACACATGAATACACGATTTATTATTCTTACTGTTGTGGTGCAGGATGTGAAAAAGTAAAACAAATATACGATTCTATTTGCTACTATAGGTCATTTACTCTGTAATAATTTATCACTTCATTCTCTCCGTAATGCTAAGGCGATTTGCGAGCAATTTTGCTAAATGCCAAAAAACCCTGTTAATGGCGAATTCCATTCTACTTTCCCTAATGTACACCTTTCTCTCGAGGTCTAAATGATGCATGTGTTTGAAACTAGGGGGCACTCATTTGCTGAATGATCCAATTTTGTTGGGAGGAAGAATGCATTGATGTTTGACAGCTGGAAAGTAATTTTCTTTTTTATATGACCAAAGCTATCACCCGTTTTTAATAAAATTTCTTTTATGCACCCGTCTAGATATTAAAGTACTTAAAATGCGGAAACCATTTCTTTCTTGCACTAAATGCCTTTTGATAAGGCCAGACCACGAATGAAATATCCTACTTGTCCCGTCCTGTCCTGTTTCAGATCGGAGAATTGGCGATTCATAAGTGAGTGCATCGCAACGATTAAAAAGGGAAATCAACCTGGAATATTTTCTCGAAGACGTCTACAAAAGCTGATGGAGGAGGAGATGTATCGTAATTCGGCTTTGGCTCTCGCTAACATGAACGTGGGCCATCCTGTTCCCAAAGGGCAGAGCCATATTGCTGATGTGGTAAGCAAGGACCTTTTCAGTCTGATAACTATAAATTCAAGTGTTTCTTCCATTGATTTATATTTTCGCATTCAAAGGTTAAACAAATAAGACAAAGATTGAAAAGAACATTTGCATAAATTTAGCGAAAACTTGACAAAGATGATTGCTTGATAGAATGGACGCCCTGCTGTCGTATTGACTTGTATCTAAGCGCTTAAATATGTGGATAAGAACTGAAATCGTCAAAAAACAATGAAAAACAAAGGAACCAGATAGCCATTGAATGAACGATGAGGAAGTGCAAATAAAGAGGTCGTAAAAGCATCATATGATATCCAGTAGTCGTCATCGTGAGGTTTTGAAGGATGTGATGAATTAAGTGAATCAGATCCGGTGTTGAAATATAGTCCCAATTACATAATGCTACACTCTTCCAACTTCCCATTATTCAGGTCACCTTATGGCTTTTAATCACATCACTTCAATGACCATCCTCACAGTTGTAGCATATAGAGTCTGATCCAAATCGCCTTTTAATAAGTCTCCTCTCAGTATCTAGAAGTATAAAATTGAGTGCGTGTTAGCATCTTGTTCACCGAGCCTCCTGAAACTATAGTTACTCTTGTCTGTATATGAATTAGAGTATATTCTCCACGCTGTACCGCGATATAGAGAATATCTGAAGCAAAAGGAATACAAGAAAAGTGGTATATGTTAAATCTGTTATAAGAAGACATTTTACATAATTTGCTGGATGACTGGCGAAGGTTTTGGAGGTTTACAGCATCTCTAGTTCCTTAACTGTTGTGCACAATTTGCGAAAGATGAAATATAAGGTGACCGGGATGTTGGTGCAGTCTTTTGGCATAGCTCGCCGCAGTGATGTATCATAAATTGTAGTCGCCAGTCAAATATATGCGATTGTCTGTCCACATGCATCATAAAGCACAAGTCGATTTGCGTTGACCGGTCTGGTACTCCTGATTGTGGTCTGTGAAATCCTTCGATTCCTCGGAACCTTCACATCATGAAATGTCGGTTGAATGCGATGGATGTGAATGGAGCTTGTCGACTTAACAAACTCAGCTGCAGAAGTTAGTTCCGCCTCAAATCCCTACCATAGAACCTATTTTTTACTAGTCAAAATCGATTTATTTTATGAACTATAGTGGGAAAAATAAAAACTGCTAATTGGACGCAAAAGAGTTTGGACCTCCTTTGTCTACTTTTGTACACCATTGAAGCGCTTTTGTGGAAATCCTTTTATTGCTGTTTGCAAACTCAAATTAAAGGGGTGAGCACTGTCCTCTTTTACCGTATTTTAAAGCCATAGTGTATGTTTACAGGCTTTCAGTCTCTGAGTTAGCTCGAGATCTTTGTTTGTGGATTAGTTTGTTTTAGAAAGCTGTCTACACTCTTACACATTCCTTTTCCTAAGTATGCCTTTTAAAGGGAGACTGTTGGTCCGGCTCTAATGTCTGATATATGGTTTGTGTTTTCGTTTCTCGGCTTTTTGAAGATAGCATTGCCCACTGCCTACTCAAAATGTGCCTTATATTACTTCTCTACTTCGGATCATCGCTTTTGCAATGCCCTCAGGTGTCAGATGAACATCTAATTGTTGTATACGTTTTTTTGGTCATACATCAGCATTCCATTCATCTCGGTGCATTCTTTTCAATTACAAGGATAATTTTGTTTCTATAAAAGCTACCTTGATTGGAAGAGAGCTGCTAGTGAGACTATATATAGCCGAAATTTTTCTGAAGAAGTTTATCATTCTATTTATTTGCGATTAACTTAGGTGTCAGTTTGATCACAAATGTGGTTTTGATGTAGAGTCTAGAAAATTGCTTAAAAGCTGGCACTAGAATTAAACCTAATTCGGTTTTGTAGTCAAATTTGCGAAAACTTCCACGCTTTAAACATTTTAATGGTTTTTTTGTCCTTTTTATCTATTAATGCATAGAAAAGGACATGATACTCCTAATGATATTAGTTGCTGTACTTGCTACTCCGCCTTGTTCGAATTTTCAGTCCTTTAACTTAAAAGCTGAATGGTATTCCCCTTAGTCAAAATCCAAAATCCTTATTTGAAACTAGGATCGGTGAGTAATTCTCATTTCAACTGAAATGATGACTTTTCATAATGGTTTTTATATATGTAAAATGCTTTTTTGACAAATCATTTCCTAAATCTCCTACCTAGTGTTTATATCTCTTAAACTAATAAAAAGGTTGGTGTGGTTTGGGTACAGTCTATTTTAATGACTTATTTTTAATTTGATGGACTTACAAAGTCCGTATGGTAGTTGGTTTTCATGCACTATAAAATGTGAGGATAAATGTTCCATTCTATCGCTACGATACTCTGCAATATGCTCTGATAACGTTTCCGCTTATTTGGAAACTTCCTATCATGAAATCTAGGTTAAATGTGCTGGATACAGTTGAAGTTTGTTACCTTTATGAGGCGAGTTGAGCATGGTACCAAATTTGCAGAATCGCGCTTCTTGCCAGATTTGGAGAAGATGCATAACCCTTAAAATATTTCTTACCATTTGGTGCGCATCACTTTCGGGAAGACCCTTCATTCTTGATTTGGTCGAGAATGCGTATGTGCAAGAAAAAGTTCTCCAAAAACAGTGGGAACTGGTCAGCCACTTGAAAGTGTTATTTTTACAAGCTAATACAATGTCTCATTCCTCAGCAAAACCTATCCGTGACAAGATCAAGACTTGGGAATGGGAGGGGGGAGGAAGATACTGCTTCATCGTCATTCCAGCTCTACGTATCGCATGATGCTACTTCCCCAAGAGATGAATATTGTTTTTGTGGCATTAGACAATTACACGCAAAACAGGGACGGCGATTGAGAAGCAGAAGTGGAAGAGATATCAAGGTACCTTTTGGTTTCCAGAGGCAAAACGTGCTATAAAAATGGGGTTGTCCAGGAGGTGTCTCACTGTGAACGGCTGCTGGACAACAGATCGTAATGGTGATTATTTGAACAAATGAAGCATTTTGGGAAGGTTTTTTTGCAGTTAACTAATTATTACTATTAAAACCCATACCGACTTACTTGATTGCGTTACATCAGTGAAGCTTTTGCATTCATTTTGAGGCAAACGTTCTTCCAATCAGTGAAATTCATTCTCATTATTATGCATTTCAAGGTCTCTAAGTATTTCTTAAATCAGCATTAAATTTTCATTGCATTCCTGAGACTTTCCTAAGACAAGATTAGGAGTCAATTAAATCCATTAAGTGAGCTTTCTATCCTTCCTTCTAACCAATTTCCAAAAAGAATCAAGAATTTGAATTACGTTTCATAGCAGGCAATGCAAACAATCAAGGTGTGTATCTACTCTATGAAGGAGTAAGTTTTGACATTTTGAGGATAGTTTGTGTATGAAACATGAAGAATGGGTTGTAGGCAGTCGACGAAGTGGAGAAGGTGGTTCGCGCAGCTTTTTGAGGTAGATTCGGGCATTCTTCCATGGCGAGAGAGTGTAGCCATCATTTATTGCCAAATACGATGAATGTACCACTATTTCACTGTCAGTTCGTCAGTCTCTTGGAGGAGTATTAGATTTTGCCATTGAGCCATCAAGCAGCCACTAATGGGTTTTTTTCGTCCAACCAATTGCAATTTTCGAAAACGAATGATTGTTATTCATCCCATCTAACAATGGGATAATCTATCATTGTTGTTTAGCTCTACGCATGTGACAGGGTTGGATATGCCCTTTAACTCCTTTGATACATTTGGAGTAGTCCGCCAGACTGGCTCCTTTTCCTTGCCGAGTTATTCCATGCAATTTAATAATGTTTTGACAGAAATTTTGTATAATCTAAACTACATTATCCACCATGGCTGGCTGCCAGCCAAACGTCTTGTCTGTTGGTGATTTGAGATAGCTATCGTATCGCATTAATTATACAATGGAAGTTGTAATTAAACCCGATACAATTTATCCATAATCTTGCAAAAATAGCTCAAAATGCAGTGTAAATGCCATTTACAAACCAGCACATGCATTTAAATAGTATTGGATTGCATCCTTTAGTTTCTCCTACGGAGCCGATCCAGTTATTCAGCTTCCGATTTGTTCAAACGGCAAAATATTTTTTTTATTTGATAGTTTTCTCGCTTCCATTGTGAATTCCTCCAAAATATTATAATTTCTCGCCTTTGATGATTCCTCCAGTCAGGTTGATGAAAAAAGGGAACGGGTTCTTTTCAGACATTAATTCTTAATTTGGATAGCTTTTGAGCCTATCTATTTGTTAAAATAACGACCTCACCGCTAGTTTCCGTTTATCGTGAGACCAGTGTATCCATTTACACTGCAAGCGCTTTCGGTTTACTTTGGGCTCAGCAAGATCTGCCACATGGATGACTCACTTTCATGATTAAAGTGGCCTACTGGAACAAAGGTTCACAAACCGTAAAAGTAATTGTGTGTATTATTCACCAAACATTTCGTTCGACGAAAGCCTGTACTATTTGTGTAGCAAAAGGTGAAATGAAAGACTCTACTGGACTTACCTTAGAAACATGCAAAAGTTCTGGGAAACTGGCGGTAGAGGTGGTATGAGCAGACCCTGTTGGATGATTCTTAGGAGTCCTAAAGGACTCGCTCAATCAAGGATAAGGGTAAATAACGTTTCGCCCCTTTAAGTTCCTCGACTCCTGGGATCAATACAAGGCGTACGTCTGGCTTTTCAATCAAATTGGTATGGGCATACGACAAAGCTGTCGCCCACTCACCACTACCTTCATTGATTCGCGGGGTGACGTGGTGTCCGCCGTAGGACTGGCGCAGGCTTTCCGCGACCTCTTCACTTCGCAGGCAGAACGGGAACGTGTAGCTCATGGCGGCGTCTGCAGCGCCTTCTGTTTGTTGGAGATGGCTCACACTCACCACCACCTACTGCCGAAACGGCGGTCTGCAGCGTCGCAGCCACCGGTGGTGCCGCACAAGGTTTCGCAGACACCTCTCGCTGCCTCGGTTCCCACATCCCGGAGGCAGTCGATTGAGGTTCCCATCTCACCGAGGGTGGGTTCTGCCTCTGACATCGTAATCAAGAGAGTGCCTAGAACACCCGCTGTTTTAGATTCTTATTTAACAGTTGCACCACTGGTGTGGTTGTGGTTTGTATCGTTTCGTTTGCTTCGTCTGACCCTTGATCCTAACACGTGCGGTCAACGAAAGGGTTCCTTTTATGCAACGAATTAAGTGAAGCCTGTGTTCGAAATGGTATCTCATGGTGCTCACTCATCCTTGAATAGCAAATTCAACCGCCGAGCTTCTATCCTTACGTTCTGACTTGGTTTTGGTATATCCAATACGACTAGAATATTCGCTTCGAGTAAACCGATTTCTCATTCATGCCAAATTTAAGCATTTGTCCCCGATTGTCTGTGGTATGTTACCGCACTCGAGGGTTAAACAAACAGTTAACGCATTACAAAAGGTCCTCCACCGAAAAGTGTGATATGCGGAATAAAAATTAGCTAAAATTGAACAAACTGTATATATGGTTCACAAGACGAGTTCCTTGATTGTGAAAATAACATCTTTTTTAATTCACACCCTTATTATAGAGAGCATCACTTTTCTTGTTTATTTTAATGCCTAATGAAAAAAATAACTCTCTTTGGCAATTTTATTCAAACAGATGCACCCAATCCTAACATTAGTAATCCCTAACTGATTCCAACGATAAATGATAAAAACCGCCATTTAGACGATGATCATAAGCTAGCTTTCCTGAATATCCATGTCAATATGGGAATCTTTGGGTTTCGTAAATTAGATTTGACAAAAATGTAGAGTGACAGGCAATTTCAAATTATTTTTCTTTCTATCTTTAGCTCAAATCCGATAGCGAAGTTCAGGAAAAAGGCTGTAAGTTTTGTAAACTTTGCTTGAATAGCTAATTCCGGTTTTATGAACTCCTAAACAATAATCGCACTTTCCGTATCTGGTGTGAGATTGCGTATTTGCACATACTCTCTTCCCTTCTTGCAAAGTAGTCTTTACATTCACGGAGTTACGACCTAATCCACCGAACCCTGCGCCGCAGCAGCAACATCATCAGGACGCCAACCAGTTTAGTTTTCACTATCTCCGTGATATGCCCGACCTCGTAGAGCTATCTCAGAAGCTACAAATTCGCTTAGCCGATGCCTTCAGGAACAGCTTGACCACCCAGTTCTCAAAAAATGGGGACAGCAAAGAGATGGGGGGGGATCTGAGGGCCTATCTTACCCGAGAGACGGCAATTCGTCTCTCCCAGCGCCTATTGGCCAGTCAAGGGGTGCTAGAGGTGCAACATAAACCCGCCCAATCACGAACCCGCAAGACTCGCCCCTTCTTGCACTCGCCCCACACCCTAGATGATGAAAGTGAAATGACCTCGACGAGATGGGCCGGACAGCAACGATGTCAGGGCGTGAGCAGCAGCAGCCGGGAGCTATGGGGCCCTGGTGTTACACACTACTCATCGATACGAAGACGACGTAATTTGCATGTAGCGCGGATGGAATGTTTCTGTTGTCATCAACGTTATCGTCGTCATCGTCCTGTCATGTCTGCTGTTGTCTTTCTCTGTAGAGAAGTCATGGATAACTCACACTTAGGGTGTTTGCTTGTGCATTTCCCGACCTTCGGTTAATTTAGCGCCTTAAAAGAAGCTTGTCATCATCTAATGTAGTTTTCGACATGTAAAATGTTCAGTCTGGATTTGTTCAATAACATTCCTCGTTTTGAAAACCTTTTCAAGCACCTAGTTGCTTGGACATTACTTAAATTCACTGTAAGGCTGAGTTTATGGCATCAAAAGGTCGTAAAACAGTGGCCAAGAAGCAAAATCTACAATATACTAAGCAGATCATCACTATAGTTAAAAAATATCCTTTTTAAAAAAGACTATGATCTGTGCTCAGAATGAGAGGGTTGTTTCAAAAGTCCCCGGACACTTTAATGAATCAGTTACATAGTAACTCATTATATTTAGCTTCCTATGCAGTGTAATTCCGACGTCTTTTCAGTTTTCTGATATAACTGGCGGTATGCGGTTTCTTCCCCCATACCTTATTTCAACCGTTAAAAATGGTAGAAATCAGACGCTGTTAAAACTACTATAACTAGGGCGTTTGAGTGTGAGACTAAACGTTGTTTTGTACGAAGATAAAATTCCCCCATAGATTGTTCCTGGTAGTTTTCGAAATTAGACTTCCGAGAAGTTCAAAATATAATTAATGCCTGCACCTTTTTCTGCAGGCGATACTGATCGCTTCTATTGCACACTATTATTTGACTGGTATAATGTGGAATTTGAGGTCAGGAATCAAGTATCCAGACCAAAGACCTATAGGCTAAGATGCACAAGCAATGCACGTCTGAATGAACTGAGGGCTGTCGTGAAACAGAGGACGGGCAGATCAAACGCACACATTCAGCCTTCTAGAAAACTGTTGCCGCAAACTAGTTTTCATTCTTCTTCATTCCTTGTGGTTGTGACCGCAGCTAAGTTTCTAGAACACCATGCATCCATCACAATAATCCAACCATTTTTAAACTTTTTAAGATTCTTAAGGGGAAAAATCTGTTCATTGCTGAACACACGTCGAAGAATGGGAAAGGTTACTATCCCAGGATATTGTAAAACATTGTTTCTTCCCTTTTGGCTCAATTTTGGCGTAAGTTCCGAAGGTATCTTTATTTTGGGGCGACAATTGTGATTCTATAATGCAAGGGCAGCTATCATGATATACAGAAGCAAAAATACGACCCGACTAGGTGTAGTACGGTGCAACTCATCCCAAAGGGGTAATGCGAAAAAACCACGAAATACACATAGTACATAATGTGTCACAAATTAGAAGAAACATATGAGACATAGCAATGATGAAATTGTAATGTTGCTGGAGAGAAAGGGAATTTGTCTTTATCACTAGATTTTAATAGAAGACTGCATACTTGTCGAAAAGATTCATGATCCACTTTTATATCAGATGGTCAAAAAAAGGTGGTGTGATTTCCGGTATAGCTAGTTGCAGTAATGTGTCATAAATTGTGGCCACTAGTCAAACATACGTGATTGTTTGTCCACACGCATAATAGAACGCAAATTGATGCGCGTCAATCGAGTTGATCGGCCTAGTACCAATGCTTGTGATCTGCAAAATCTTTCTACTGCTCGAAATCTTCATATTATGAAATGTCGGTGGAACGTGATGGATGTGATTGGAGCTTGTCGGTGCTACAAACTAGGTTAAATCTAGTTCCAAGACTGCAGTTTTCCAGTGCAGCACTTGCAAAGTTTGGTATGTGGTAGCAGAACACACCGTCCGGAAGTGGTTGAAATGATTAACTTGTTGCTGCCAATGAATCACATGCAGCTAGATGTTTCACGTCCAGAAAGACCCTCTATTCTTGGTAGTGAAGATTTACTTGCAGTCATTGACTGTCGAGACTAAGAACAACACCCAGCAATGTTTGGTGTTTAATGGTAGAAGCTACCAAGCGAGTGGGTATCACATGTCATGTCATGAATTAGCAATATATATCAGACTTAAAAGCTTATCAATTGGTAGTTCTTTACTTCTTCCATGCATGGCGTTAAAACGTGCCTTTGGAGAAGGGTTATTTGCTCAATAACTAGCCAACAGAATGGTTGACTAGTAATGAAGAATAGATACTGTGCTGCGGCGCCAAGCTAGCGTACATGTCACTGATCATTCCCAAGTAGTCCATTCACCATCAACTACACAGGTCGAAGCTACGTACCACTTCATTTTCAGATGACTATGCTTGCCCTGGGTGTGTGCATGTGCGGGGTAACCTTCGGACGCAATTGTTCGCCTTAAATTTTTCACGTACTGAAGGCTAAACAACAATTAAGTCCGAGATCTGTTTACCTGTATCGGAGCAGCTCGAGGGTGTGCAAGCAAGACTTATTCTTGAAAAACACCCAGGACTACCCAATGGGTTGAAATAAATCCTGTTCTCAGTCTTACCTGACAACACTTCGCAGTAGTGCACATTTGATACCACTACAAAACTTGCCCTTGAGAGGGGATGGAGGGGAAGGGGAAGAGGAAACTACCTCATCCCCACCCGGGTCCCTCATACTGTCTGACGATGCTTCTCCAGATGATGGGCATCAACTTTTGGTGGCACTAGACAAGCAAATTCAAGATCAAGGCAGGAGTTTGTGTGGGAGGCAAAAGCGAAATTGTAGGTGAATTGACTTTTCCTTGGCTTCCAGATGCAGAATGTTATAAAATTGGGCTCACCAAGGGATCGTAGGGATAATTATTTGAACGAACAAATTGTCACGTAAAATTGCCTACATTTAACTAATTCGTACTATAAAATCCCGTACGGACTTATTTGGTTTTTTTCTCGGTCTCACATATCTCCAATTCCCACACGATTTAAACTATCTTTCTTAAGCAAATCTCTGTGCATTTAAAAAGTAACTGCACAATTCCAAACCCTTACTCTTTACCAACAAAATTTATTTCCTCTATCAATTGACAGTAGCAGTCTGTCCTCAGTTTATGCTCTCTCACGACCTTATCTGCATATACATGGGGCAGTGATTGTTCATCAGGACATCTCTGTGCGGCCAAATTTTCCTTGTCGCTATTCTAAGACTCATCCCTCCAAACCCTTGATGTCGTAACTGTTTTACAGTGACAGTAAATGTCAACTGCAATCCTCGATTCCCTACTTATTGCTCAATTTACCCGATGTGAGCTACTAAAATTGGCCGATGTGAAAATTAAACTTCGGCAAATCTATTACAAATTGTGTCTTCTTCTTGACATCAAAATCTACGCTAAATTCAACTTTGATTATTAGGAGCAGTTGCTTTTACTCCTGACTCATTATTTTATCAGATGAAAAAAATTCTTTTAAAAGTGAAAGGTTAAATGGCTTTGCAACGACGTTTAAAGAGCTCGTCAACAAGATTAATTCTCTCTGTTAAATGTAGAACGGTTGGACTTAAAAAAGAAACAATTCGATTTAGTGTCATTTTTTTGCGCATTCAGTGGAAATGGAGCATCCGTGACACCCCTTGAAAGTAGATTCAGGTAAACTTTTTTTCGTTACCAGGCTATCCAATGTTAATCAAATTCAAATTAATCGGTGGGAATATAAAGTACTTAGTTGATTGTTTTAATTGGTTAAATAAATTTTTAAATGTGTGTTAAACAGTGAACTTGGGAGACATTTATTCAGTCGAATTTCATTTTTTTTACAAAAAAACAACCTTTCAGTTCCATTTCACTTAAAGGATTAGCCTCATCTCTTGTTATGCGATCCAATTGCCTACATAAGGTTGCGCTGTTCAAACTCTGTGTAAAGTTGCGTTTTTTACACTTCAGCCACCTCCGATTCGAGGAAACCCTTCAATGTAATCAACCCGCAAAATCCCACACCCTCACAACCGCTTTCAGTCGTCAAACAGTCGCAAAATGATAAATACGAGGGGACCGATTTGACCAATTCTAGTGGCATTTCAATGGACATGGTTAAAGACGTGGTGCTTTTGTCCCCTTTCAAGAGCGCTGTCTCTCTTGGCTATAGGTATGAACTATTGCTATCTTTTGTTGTTTGTGCAATATGAGGTGGGACTTGTGTCCATTGGCCAATCTCAGTTGTTTAGTCGCAAACCTCACTGCTTCGTCAGATCAGTTGTGGTGGAAAAGCACTGAGTGTGGTCGAATCTCTTGCCCCCTTAATGGATGTTTTCAGGAATTTATTCAATCAGTGTGCGGGGTGATTTTTGGGAAATACTCGTGATGTAAACGAGCCGACTTTGCACCGTAATGGCCACGAGGCGGAAGCTCGTGTGCTCATTGGTTGCGAGGGCATCTGACTATATGTTCAGGTGTTTATACAATAGAATCAATGGTCACTCATTGCTTGAGATGGATGCATTTGCTGCAGCTACACATACCCACCTTGATCCTAGCTGAGGTCTATTATGTGGCGTATGGTCCACTTTTTACAAAGATGAAATCGGTAGAATGTCATCTATTAAACAATGGAAAACGCAAGTTAAGTCCATTAGATGCTAACTGAACAGTTCGTTGAGCACTTTTTCTTCTTACTGACGTCTTTGTTACATAGGTTTCGAAGTGGGAACTACACTATAATCATCGAACATTTCCTCCAGGTGTCAATACCAGAGAGGTGTAAGAGTGGCATTGGTCTCAAAACTGGCTATTTTGTCACACGAAAAATGAGAAAACATGATATTTATGTAACTTTTTCGAAAAAAAGGCGTGTTGCAGTTTTGAAAAAGTGAGACATTTCTGTGATCCCACATTTTCCAGAATGCATGAAGTTTTCATGAACGGAAAATACTATAACGCCGTTTAACTTGAATACGCATCGAAATTTTATCGTTCATATGTCTTTCATAATGGAAATTTATTTTAACTAACTAACTTTGGAAGTCCACAAAACTGTGGCACCTTACCTGAGTTACTAATTGCCGCAAAAAAATAATCCTTAATGAAGACTTCGGGGATGAGGCGAATAGCCGCTTACCACCTAAAGTAACGCAGACGTGATTAAAGCGCTTTTTGGAGCTTATTATAACGCAGTCCCTGGAGTCACCCCCCCCCCTAATTTGTAGTATCCCATACGAGTACGGAAGATTTGTCAGTAAGTTGCGGAGGAGCTGAGGGATTGTAGCGTTACATCATTAAATTGTACCAATTTAGCCGTCAATATTCTAGACGAGCTTGATTATTTTTAGTTTGGTTGATGTTATGAATTTATAAAAATTCTATGTTAAGGATATTGAAATATTGAAAGCTTGAATGTAATGTACGAATACGTATTTATTTATGATTAAAGCGAGTACAGACATGCCACCTAATACTATCCAATTCATTATGGGCTATCTAAGGCACACCATTCCTGCTCATTTTGATAGATACGCATTCCTTAATAGGTTTTGACGCCTGAAGAGAACATAAGTTATGATTTATTTCTGAAATTTGTATGCATAATATCTTCACAAATCCCCACACACACACAATGATGCAGCATTAACTGGATTTGTGGAGCAGTTGAATGTCAGTTAAAAATACTCATTGTGCTGCTTAAAACTTAATATTATTAAGGTAGTGATGTTTATTTGCCGATTGTCACCATTCAATGAAGAAATTTAACTTAAACCGACTTCACACAAAACCGGCTTTAAATGATGAACCAATTTCATCACCGCTTAATGGTTGATAAAAACAGAAAAATCCTCCCACCTACTTATCACTTCTAATGAATTTTGCAAAATCAGGTAGTTATTTAAAGTCAGATCAAATCACTGACAGGTCGGTTTTGTATTTTTACTGCCACTGGAATGCAGCAATAAGTAGGGTGTTAGGACAAAAGATTGCCTGTATTTTTCCAATAACCAAAAGTCAGTCAGTCTCTTGACAGAATTTCTCAGTGCATAAGCTTGCTACTTGCATATCAGTCATGCATTTTAATAGTCATTCAAGACGTGGCTTGCAACCGTATCCTTGATGGAAATAATTTGGCTAGTTAAATAAACTATTGTTTCTCTAATTCATAGATCGCCAATCGGCTGGTTGTATTGTGTAGTCTTGATTTCATGTTGCCAGCATATATATGGAAGTTCCCCAAGAACAACTTACTGCTTCGATAAAACGTCAACAAAAACATTTTGAAGAATATTCCCCTCACTTCTTGATCACATAATTATCGGTGTATTTGCGGAATCCATTTTCATTCTAGATATCGACATGGACGCCTCTTCCAAATGGCCCTTCAAGTGTCTTCATCCGTGAAGACTCTACCTCCATGTATCTCTGTTCCAGCTCTCCGGATCAGTCTCGCTGACCATAAGTCCGACAATACAACACGAACAACCAGTACTGCCTCCGTTTCCGATGGCAAGGACGAAAAAAGCGAGAAGGAAAAAGGGAAGGAGAAAGAGGAGATAGTGGATCTGAAACCGGAGCAGCTGGGTTCAAAAATCGGTCACACATACCTTTTCGAGGAGGCTCTGATCAATTCTACGGACTCGAAACTTTGGACTAACATGCAGTTTTGGGAAGACCTATTCCTGGACACCGTCGCCCAGGAGCGAGATTTGCTAGGTCAGTCTTGGGCTGTTTGAGACTGCATTACCATGAGTTATAAAATAATCTACTCCTCCATGCCACTTTTTTAAGAAAATATCTACCCACTCTCTTTTTGTACTGTTTTCGAAAAATAACCCAAGATTATTTTTACCTCCGCTTGAGATCCATCTTTTGTCCAATTTTAATTGAAAGATTTATTAAATTCTAGTTCAAAATGAAAGCGTGCTTTTGAGACCAAAAGTATCTATGACTCCAGTGAATTCTGAAACAAAATCGCATCTAAGAGCATTTCCAGTGGCTTGTAGGAAAAGAATGTGATTTTCCCACTTTCATTTTCCACAGGGTTAGCAGCACTGATTGTACGATTTTTAGCTGGGAGTTGTCCTACGTGATGATCGGCCAGGCAGCGTCCATTGACTAGCCAACCAAAAACTCGTTATTTAATTACTTTGACACCCTATAATCCATTCGCAGTAAATGGATAAACAAATGCTTTTTGCCTCGATTAATCCATTCATTCGTGCAACCGAATACTTGTGCTCCTTGCAAATATTTCACTCTAACCTAAGTTTTTGGTATACTGATACTGTTTGTTTTTATGTATTTACGCCAAATGAGGACTAGCTTCCAGACTCTCAAGAAACTCGCTTATTCATAAGGCATCCCTCAGCTGTTCATTGCATTGTTAATTTGTTTGGATGATTCAGTGTTATCAGAATAGTTACTTTGATAAACTTTGCTGCATATTCACACTGGCTACGATTGATCATCACGCTATAATTATTCAGTCTTTCATTTCAGTAGATGCATGATTTGTCAAATTTTTGACCAATACACTTTATTCAACGTGATGCTGTGTGCAGGTTGTCCTTAGAGAATTTAGGACATGGGAGTTTTTATCAGACCTTATTATCAGCTCATGAACAGGGTGGGAGACTAGTAACTTTAAGTGCTTGGGGCAGAGCCCGTGTCACCATAGTTAGGACCGAATTCCAGAAGACCATGAAGACACCATGGTTACTGCTCTACTTTGTTAACTGCAACAGTATTCAAACGAATTATGTAGTGAACCTTTAACACACAAGAGAACTTAAATTGGACCGTAACTAAATGCGTCTAGCCATCACGGTCCCTATGCAAATCATATTGTCAGCTGTCATTTGCCATGTGGTGTTCTAGTGAGTGCATTACAAATGCAGGCCGCTCATTTAAAAGGTGTTTTCCTTATTCATTGTTTCATCTCTGCGATTATCTATCATCAAAATCCATTTTTGCAAATTCATGCATTCCTTCTTTCTCCCTTAATTTCAGACTTTATGGAAATCTGATTTACGGAATTGTCATTTGTTGCTTGTGTTTGCATTCCCACAAAAGCTCTTCGTTAAGGATATACCACTGGATTCATTTGTCGGTGGAAGTGCTTCTCTGTACGATGTCCCATTTCTGCCTCTTTAAGGCATGAACTTCAATCCCGAAGGTCTGCTGGAACACTACTCTCACCTGACCCCAGTCGCTCGAAAGCATCTGGAGTTGAGCGAGGATGCCCTTCTAGCTGAAGTGATGCATAATCTCATCGCCTTCATGGTGATGGCTCGCATCCCACCTGATCTCATTTGTCGCAAGGTTCGCCGCCTTATCGCTAAAAGTCACACGGGGCTGCACTACACACAGAAGATCACACAATTGCTTGACTCCCTCGAATGGCTGGTAGGTTCCTATGGCTTGCTGGAGTGAGACGTTGAGATGTTCTACACTAAAATCATTTCTTCTCATTTATACCAAAATGGAATTTTCTGTTTTCGTTTACTGATACGCACAAATTTGTCTGTTTTCACTGATGTTTTTGATATATATGATAAGTCATCGCACTTTGTGTTTTATTCCAGATTTATTTGCATAGTTTAAAGTAGCCTTATATGCTAGCCGCTGTACTTTTCTCTGTAGACGTTAAAGACGTGCGAGCTTGGAAGCCGATTTGTTACGCTTCTATACAGAGAAACAGAAAAACTGGTGGTGTAGGTGAAATGAGCAGAGGTCGGATTATAGAAAACTGAAAATTTAAATATTTATGCACACAGTTTTTGCCTTGTTTTTGGTGCTATTTTCGGTTCGCTCTTTGAGTTTTCTTCTGCATCAATTATCACTGTAATGTTGGGTCAAAACATAGATGAAAATCATGTTGTAGCTTCCCTTTACTGAAGTGTGAATTTACTAGTAGCTATGGGTTCCGTAGATGCGATGGAGTTAGTGCGTCAAGTCCTATTTTGACTCACATTATCATAATTATTTTGGCAAGTATTGCTTAGACCTGGACATTGGTCTACAATGCTTACACTCGGCGCTCTTATCACTTTGTTTGGGAATGTCCGCCTAATGAAATCCCCGAACTATGGTAGCTTGTAGTAGACGCCGACTTTGATTCGTCTTTGTCTCTATTTGCCGTCTTATTGCCACCCAACAGCTTGTCTTTGCTGAACTCCAATTCTCACACCACAGCATTTTGGAGTCTTGGGTCCTATCCATTGCCTACCCTTTTTTGAAAGCGCAGTGCAAACAGTTTGAACTCGTACAATGTAGGCTTCGATGCATTGCTCCCCATTACGCAGAAGTTGGGATTACTGTGGCTTTTGATAGCACCGCTGTTGTGAGTGTGGATTTTGCTGTAAGCACCGCTATTGACTTGGTAACCAATTCATCCCGTTGGCCAGTAATTACCTTTGAAACAGTAATGGGGGCCGCCATATATATTATATATTAGAAATGTCAAATGGGTGTAAGTAGGCCATTCGTGTCTGGATTTCGCTTTGCCATAAGTGTGCTGGAGGACCAAAAAGTTGTTGGTATACGTAACAAGGGCAGTGACTGGATGTCCCAATTAACCTTCTCATTTTTTAAACTAAGATTTTCGCTGTTTTAAATTTATTGATACGTTTGAGCAATTTCAGTCCTGTAAAATAATTTCTTATTTTTTCTGCAAATTTTACACACCTTTTGATCGAGGAGGGATTTTTCAACCTATAGTGCTTACTCATTGTTCCAAAGTAACAGTGCAAATCTTGAGGCCAGAACTGGTACGCATTCGTGCTCGAAATAATTTGAGTTGTTTCTTCTATGTTTTAGAGGGGAAATGACATTGATCTCCTCCCAATCGCTAGTCGACAATTCACGCCCGAAACCTTCTCCGTCTACCCTGCATGGATCAAGGACTCCGAGATGCTTACAATGGAGGTAGATTTGTAATTGAAAATGACTTCCTTCATTTCTTTTAGTCCTTCATTTGTTGTTATGCTAGTATAAATTAAAAAAACTCGAAATTCCACTCATATCAAATTAGGCCTCCTGTCAGTCACGAAAAAAGGCACTTTGTATTATGAATAGGAGAGTGATAGCGCTAATCTCCTGTCATTTTCTGGGAGAACAGAGAGCATTATCTTGAGTTGGGATCTAAATATGATGTTTTGAGGCTTTGAACTTTTGGCTCTTAACAGGTGTATCCAGAACAGTAGGGAATGTTATATAATTGGGTGCTTTTTTATAAAAATTTCATTACAATTATTTAAAGCCGCCACTAGGGATAGTTCTTTACTGGATTACGAATGTGTCAAAGATCAGCGATCCCTTTGAATGTAGATCTTGTCTTAAGAATATAAATGGTAATGCAGTATTGAAGAGTGTAACTACCGGTAGTTGACTTGAGAATGTTTATTCCGACCAAACTCATTAATGTGGACGTCTTAATCTCAAAGTAGCAATGTGATTAGACGGAATCATTACCTCATCAATATCATGTAATTTGAAGCAAATTTCCAAGGTGAAAAACAAGTCATTTTTTGGGCACAAAGTGCTGCTAAGCTTGTTGAGCAATGACATTGACACTCTTGCATAATCACCCTTGGTATTCACAAGACAATGGATTACGCTGTGGTGACCACCCATATTAACTCTGAAGGTGTAATAGTGGATGCAAACCTAGAATTGGTCTTGTTAGCAACGTACGGAAGTAGAGGGAGACAAGTGGTATCGTCGGCATAGGAGCCGAAAGGGGTCGCATATTGACACATTAAAAAGCAATTAATAAAATTTAAAAGAAAACCATAAGTTATCATGAATATCCTTTTCTCAAAGAATACTACAACTGACTGGGCTTAACAGGCAGCGTCAATATAGCGTTAATTTTGCTTCTAAAGGAAGACTTTCCACCTAATTTATTTTGCATCGAACCAAAATCTGCTAAATCGGCTTCAAAGAGGTTTATCTTTGCAGAATGTTTCATAATTACTTTTTTTTGGAAAGATCTACGGTGATTTTTTGCTAACGCGCTCGCCGAATGGCAGTGTGTTTTGCCGGTGGTGGTTCGATCAGGTTATCAACGTGACGTACTCACCGATGCAGTATACCATCGACTTCCAAACTCAGCTGGAAAAAAAGATAGAACGATTTTCCTTCACCTCTACTGATGTAAGTGCTTCCTTTTGATGCGACTTTTGAATCCGGCTCTTTCACACGATCTTAATATTCTGATTTCGTAAAGAATGTGTCCGATATCTGAGAAAATGCTTTTAATTTAGATCCGTTTAACCAATATCGGCCTCTACCACTGCTTTTTTTATCACTGAAAAATGACTAAGTAGTCAAGATTAATATCAACCCCACTGTTGGCAATACTTGACAACTAGTCAATCAGTTGCTCTCAGAACTTTAATGAATTTTGAGCTGCATTGGTTTTGATCATCGGTGATACTAAAACTGAACACTTGTGTTCTTTGGGTTGTAGGCGGGCATATTCATGACCCCATTAGTTTGATTACTCAACAGTATCATTATTTAAATGCCAACTTATCCCGTACGGCCACATCAACTCAAGAAAAACATTTGGTTAGTAGATTTCTGCCACTGTTTCCCATTATATTACTTGAATTATTAAGAACCATATTTTTTTACTAAAAGGGTTGAGGTTTTAGGCAATAATTTGTGTGCATCTTTCCCTCTTGGAATTGCTTTTTGCAATGGGACCATTCTAAATAGCGTATAATTGTGGTCTTTAAGCTGTCTTTTTCTCCAAAATCAATGCCTTATGCTTATCCACTTTCTACATCTTTAAGACAATGCAATTTGAAACATGGGAAGCTATATTCTTAATCTTTTAGCCCTTTTTGGATGGTTGTAACAGTTCCATATTAAGAGGAAATATGCCCTCACACTAGGATTCATGCAAGAGCTCACGGTGTTAGCGTGGCCTCCAAGTTTCTCAGTTGGAAAGTTCATTACACCTGTTTCAAATGACCCATTTTCTCTTACTCCTAGACCACTTCCCTCTTTGCCTCTATCGCATCGGCTATAAGTCGGGCAAGGTCGAAAAGTCCACAAGGGCAAATTAGTGAGTTGCATTTGTTAGAATGAGGTACTACAAAATAACAACGCGGGGTAATTAAAAGGCAGCCCTTCTTTTGCAAGCGGACGATGTCTTGACTGATCACAGAGGTCTGTCACTTTTGATTTCACATTACTCATTCTTATTCAGACAGCTAAAAATGTGAAAGTGATAAAGTAAA